AAGCATCTGAAGCATTCTCTGACCATGTGCACCAAAATTGAAACTGCTAGGCCGTGGATAGGCCCTGTGCCACTCAGTTCTGGCAGCTGGCTCCACCCCCTTGGTTCTCTGAGAGCCTAGCCTCATGTAGGCAGGCGTGTGAGGGGAGCTGTGTTTACTGCTCCAGCTCTTGGGAGTTGCTGAGCCCACTTTCCAGAGTCTCTGCAAGCAGCAGCTGACAATTGTGAGTGCTCCTGGAGAGGTCCAGGGGCAACTGCAGAGAGGTACTGACTGGCATGACTTCTCTGTCCACGTGGTCATGCCATGTGTTGGAGCACCAAATGTAGCATTTTTCTAGTTACTTTTTATAAATAAAAACTCGGGAATCAGATGTCTGAGTAAGAACATGAATGATCAGAGAATCAGTGGAGAAGTGACCAGTGACCTCCTCCTCTCTCTCTCTTTCCTCAATCCAAAAAGGATGGAGACTCTCTCCAAACCATGCCCTACTACTTCCTGTGTCTCTCTATCTGTCCTCAGTCCTCCAAAATCTCTATGGCTAATTCTGGTCAGTAGTAGTTAGCTCCGCCCTCTGATTCAAAGCAAACTTTATTGGCAATCTTGGGAGTGTCAGAATATGATCACAATATCCCACACCATATTTCCCTTCCTTCTGGTTTCACTTCCACTTATTGGGCCTGCACACCAATGTTCACACTCCCAGAAGTTTCAATTCTAGTTGTGCCTTGACCCTTTAGGGACAGTTGCTGCCCATGAGACCTCATGCAGTGACACCTCACACCCATCTGCTGCTTTCCAGCTCGATTCTACTCTTAAAATATATGGACTATTTTCCTGGTAGAAATCTATCCCATTAAACTTACTGAATACTAGTCAGACATGGTAGCATATGACTTTAATACCTGCAAAGGCAGACAGATCTCTGTGAGCTCCAGGCCCGCCTGGGCTGTTAGAGAGATGCCTCAATAAACAAACCAACAAATAAATAAAAGCAATACGCCTTTCTCTTTCTCTGCCCTCACAGAACTCCCCTCCCCCTTCCAGGGCTTCAGATTGCTCTGGTTTCTTTACAATGTGTGAAGATTGCTGATACCCAGAGGCAGCCCCTAAGTGTCATGAATTGAGAGGTGGTGTGAAGACTGTTGTTTCATAATTCTTAGAGAAATGCAGTGTGCATATTCAGAGCCTGTGAGGACATTGCTCACACCACACTGACCAGTATACCTGACTTTGGAACTTGGCTTTGTACTCAATAATTCCTATCTTTCACAGACATGGCTCTCATGAGGCTGGCAGTGGCCATGGCTCCTCAAAGCATCCATTTCCCTTGTCCCCCAAGGACTTCCGTGAAGAAACATTTACATTAACCTATGTTTTTAGATACAAGAGCCTGTGCTAAGGAAAGTGAATTACATGGCTAAGCAGGTAGAAAGCAACCACCCTCTTGCACAGGGCCCTCACCTTTGAGCCTGTCCTCACCCCTGTGATATGTAAGGAGATTGCATTATGACCTGGCATTTACTGCAAAATAATTTTATTGTGTTCTGGTGTCGTAGGAGATTAGATAGTGCTAAGATAGTATGTAATGGGTAATGATTGCAGAGGTCAGAAGGCTTGCAGATACTTTGATTTATTCTTACTAAACCACCCGATTTTTAGGAAAAAAATAGCCCAGGTTTCCTTTTAATTTTCCACAAGAACTTTCTTTTTAAGAATCCATATCCATCTGGGTACCACTCAGATGTCATTGACTATACACATCTATCCATTCTGTTAAGGAATTTAGAACTAAAGACTTCATCTGTCAGTAAGTTTGGTTGTAATAAGAAATGATTTTCTGTAATACTACTTTTCCTCCAGACAGAAGTTTAATAAGTTCTTGTTTCTGAAGGGAGATTTGCAGTGTCTGTGAAAAAATAGTCCTCCTTTCCTAGGCAATGTAATATGGCGTCTTCTAACTTCCATCATGGGGTAGTCCTGGCAGAGAATGGTTGTTTGTGGCCTTCTTACAACTTACAGCTATCTTTTAGACAATTTATTCATGGAACCAGAGATGTATAGAAAGGCAAAAGAGACAATGAAAGCAATAGCCTGTGTCTGCTGGGCCATTATTAGAGCTTTTGATACAGACAGTGCAGCTTCTGAACTGAGACGCTCACTCAGTCACTGTGGAGCCACGGTTGCCCGGGTGCCGCAGAGAACAATGTTTAGAACAATGACTGACAGGTAGAATGTTCACACTTGGTGTTGCTGTGACCAAAATTCCATCAAGAACAACTGAAAGGAGATGATATTCGTTCTTCATCTGAGAGGATCAAGCCTGCTGTTTGGCACCATGCATATAGGCAGAACGTCCTGAGGATAGGAGAATGTGCAGAAGATCCAATCTCAGGGAAGACAGGAAAGAGAGGAAGAGAACAAGCAAATGGGCATGTAAGGACATCCCTCTGGTTACTTCCTCCAGCTAGGCTCTGCCTCCCAAAGATTTACATTCTCCCCAAATGGCACCAGCATCCAGAAACCAAGCATTGGAGACATGAACTGGGGTGTGTTGCGGGAGAGGGTATTTCCTATTTCAACTATGGTGAATGTTTATGGTAGACATGCATCAGCAACCTTTCTGAGAGGCACAACAATAGAGCTGTGGTCTCTGGGAGAGATGCCCTGGGTTTCTTTTCTTTTGGATGCCATTTCCTATCTGAGTAGAGGGATCTCTCCTCATTTTCCCAACCCCAGTGCTTGATACAAGCTCTCATGCTGGGCTTTGTGGTATAGGACTGGGGCCATGATCTTCCTGAACAGTGATGGGCAAAGAGCAGGTAGGAGAAGTGTTGGTGGGTTGATCTTGACGTGGGGGGAATGGGGCTTTTTAAATTCTTCCTCTCATTAAAGATTTACTTACAGAGGGTTTTTTTTTTTTTTTTGGTGTTTGTTTTTTTTTTAACATTGTGCTCTGGGTGGCTGAGGCTTACTTAGTGAACTAAAAAAAATCACTAGCAATTAGAAGGGCTGTGAGAACCCATTTCCCTTTCACGAGGAAGGCTTCTGTTGGTTTCCTTAGTTGCCGGAACTTGACTATCTGCAGCAAGGTAAGGGTGGAACACAAGAAGCCAGGAGCTTCTGTCTGCTGCAAAGCAGAGTGAACGCGAAAAGAACATTGCTCCTCCCTCCCAAATCAGAGCCCACGGGGTAATTCAGCAAGCTGTGCTGTTGATTATTTTCTGTGCGTTTACAATGCTGGCTATTCATTTCACGAACTATAATAGAAATAAGAAGGGAACTTTGAAGGATGAGTGAAAGCCTGTGAACTGGGAAATGAGAGTGGGAATTCAGGAGACATCTTAATTATACCTCTCTACGTAAAGCTGCATATTTGTCTGTATGTAGAACTTACCCCTTTGAATATAAATATGAAGACATAAGTTAAACTCTAGCCTTTCAAAGACCAGTGGATATTAGTTTTAGTAGAATTCAGAAGACCTGGTACTGGGATCTGGCACTCAGTAGACCAGAGTATCTTCTGATTCTGTCACTAACTTTCAGGGCCTCCTAGACTAGGCTGTATCAACTTTATCACCATTGATGCTTTATGCTGGATGATATTTTTACAGTGCCAGACTGCCTTGTGCATGATCAGTAGCAGCCCTGGCCTCTACCCTGTGAATAGAAGTATCACCCACACCCATGACAATTGTATCCGTTGCTTCTTACATCACTGTGAACACAATACCTGACAGTAATACCACGAGAGAGAAGATTTATTTGGTTCCATGACAGAGAAACACTGGCAGGGGGACTGAGAGGGAGGCTCTTCCCATCATGATGAGCAGGAAACACTGGCAGTGGGAATGGGAGGGAGGCTCTTCCCATCATGATGAGCAGGAAACATTGGCAGTGGGAATGGGAGGGAGGTTCTTCCCATCATGATGAGCAGGAAACATTGGCAGTGGGAATGGGAGGGAGGCTCTTCCCATCACGATGAGCAGGAAACACTGGCAGGGGGAGTATGTGGGAGAGACTAGTCACATCATATTGGATGTGGAAGTGGAGAAAAGAGCATTCTAGCCCTCAGCTGGCTTTCTTCTTCTCATTCTTTTCATCTCGTCCACTAGCCAATGGGGCAGTGCTACCGGCATTCAGGGTGGGTCTTTCTCCTCATTCATCCTCTATGCAAGTCACCTTAACTTCACAGCAGGGGGGGCTTTAATCTCCCATGTGCTTCTGTTGGAGAACTACTATTTTAGACCAAGTCTGGTTCTCCTGATAATTAGACAGTGGTGGTCCTACAAGAGCATCGGAAGTTCACTTCGGATCTGACAAATCCCAACACCACCGTCAAGATAACACACCAAACTTTCATAAGTGGTAGACAGCTTGTGTTAATCCAGATGGGTCTAAGTGAAACTGTTTGTAACTACAGTTCTTTCACTGTCCCAGCTTGCTTCCCTGTTGCTATGATTAAAACACTGTCCAAAAGCAACTTGGGAAGGAAAGGGTTTATTCCAGCTTGTAACTCCCAAATCACAACATGTCATCGGGGGAGGGCAGGGCGGGAACTTATGGCAGGAATCTGGAGGCAGAAACTGAAGCAGGGACTAAGAAGGAGTGCTGCTTCCTGGCTTGCTCACGTTGGTTTCTTATACAACTCAGGACTGCCTGCTGGGGTGGCACCACCCAAAGAGGTCTGGGCCCCCCTAATCAATCACTACTCAAGGAAATGACCTACAGACCAGCTTGATGGAGGAAACTCTTGAGCTGAAGACCCTCCCTCCAATATGACCTAGCTTGCTGCAAGTTAACCAACTATTTGTTTTGTGTTTGTCCAGTTATCAAATACCAAGAGTTTTGTTTATTGGTTTGCTTCTACTGATTCCCGAGGACCTTAAAATACACACGGAATAGCTCTGCCTTTCACCAAACTCTACTCGTATGGTGAGGGGCAGCAGAGGAGTGGTCTGCAGGGACTTTGCTGAAATGACTTTTTCCCCCCCTTCCCACAGGGATTCTCACACTAAAGAAAGCAAATGAACTTCTGAGCACAGGCGTGCCGGGCAGTTTTCTGATCCGCGTCAGTGAGAAGATCAAGGGCTATGCCCTGTCCTACCTGTCTGAGGAGGGCTGCAAACATTTCCTCATAGATGCATCTGCCGACTCGTACAGCTTCCTGGGTGTGGACCAGCTGCAGCACGCCACTCTGGCAGATTTGGTGGAATATCACAAGGTGAAGCCATTCACATGCTTTAATTTGCCTTGGGAACTAGTGTCACTTAGATATATAATAAAGACAGGCATGGCTAGGCATACAGCTCAAGAGCAAGCAGCGGGAGGGGGTGGCACATTATTCCCCCTGATAATAAGGAATCTTAATTCTATGTCCTTGATCCTATCCTCCTGACATACTCAGACATATCCTACTGGGGCTGAGAACACTGGAGATGTGCATACTGATCACATCTGTGGAAGGTTCTATGCTAGAACGTGGGCTCTAGCAGGAAAGGGAAGCTAGCAGGAGGAAAATAGCTTTTAAGATTGTTTTAAGCCAGTATAGGTTTGCATAAATCTAGAATAGAGGAGTGATATTCTCTGAGGAGCTAGCAAGGGCATCTACCACACAGCTGCCACCTGACTCTGTGCTTTGATTGACAGGAAGAGCCCATAACCTCCCTGGGGAAGGAGCTCCTGATGTACCCCTGTGGTCAACAAGACAAGCCACCCGACTACCTGGAGCTCTTTGAGTGACAGCTCTCACCCAGATCAGCCTCCAGCCTCCAGCTGGGTTCTCCTCTGGACAGACACCTCTGAGGTGGACATTTGCATGTGATGCCAAAATCACTCTGTGACAGAGCCAACAGTGAACAATGTCTGTGAGGTCTAAATTGAATCCTCTATTCTGCATAAATGCTGGAGTTCAATTCAAGGGGATATGACCTCTCCCTCATTCTGAAAGGAAGAGGGAGAAGTGTACCCATTTCAACAACATTCTAATACGAAGATAGGACCTTGAAGGATATGACCCTAATGATGTATATAAGATAAAATAACAAGTGTAAATTGAAATCTTTTTAGCAATTAAGGTGTTACTGTAAAAAAAACAAACAAACAAACAAAAAAAAACAAGTGAACTATTTTGTGATCACATGCTCCGTCTTTGGTATGCACTCAAAGGTCTCAGTCTCCTGCTTATGTGAACTTCCATCTTGGCTTTATTATACTGGGGAAAAAATGTCCTAACTAAGGGCTGAGATTATCCTCAAAAGACAACCTTTTCTGTATGTGTTGGAGCCAGGATTTAAGAGCTAGAAAAGCAAGTCCCGATTGGGAACTGAAAGAGAAGTTTTAGTACCTGGAGAGAGAGACTTACCATGTACAAACAAACAAACAAACAAACAAACAAACAAATACAAACAATAACTACTAGATACAGCACACACAGTGGCAGGAGGGACCTGCAGCATCTTACAGCTTGCTCCTCATTTTGTTCTGCCTCCCTCACCTCTATCTGTGAATACATACAAAAGATGCTGTGTGCGGCCGGCCGTGGAAGGACTCATGTATTCATGGTCCAAAGAGAAGAACAGAGCGAGTGTCTTGGATACCACCTATTGAAAGTTGAATTGTGTCCCACATCAAGAAAACACAAAGTACTGACCTCTCTGTACAGGGGTGTGACCTGATATGGAAATAGGGTCTTTGCAGACAAGATAAGTAGAGTAGGCCCTGACTCTAATGACTGGCATCTAGACAAGGAAGAGAGATTTAGAGAGAGACACACAGAGAGATGAAGGCTAAGGAACCACAGAGACGGAGAGTGAGTGATGCAGCCGTGATCAGAGGCTGCCAGGGATGCTGGAAGACGACAGCACTCAGGGTAGAATCTCCCTGGAACTCTAGAAGACAAAAACACGGCCCTGTTATTATTGTTTGCACCATCACTGCAGCCTGCTTGCCTTGAGAACTGTGAGGTAATAAACGTCAAAGTCACCGGATATATGGTAACTTTTTACAGCACTCTCAGAAAACTAGTGCAAGAGTTTATGCAGCCGCAGATCCCACACACATTTCATGGGCTTGTTTCTTGTTACAGTCCTCACCCTCACTATGAAATAAAACTTGGGTATGGGAAGAACATTCCAAGCAATGCTGTCTAGCCCTGGGACACAGATTTATTCAGCCAGGAATCTCCTGCCCTACATCATCCTTAAATCAAATCTCCAGCCATTTTTAGCTCAGATCGATGAGGTGGGGCCAACCTCTGGATGGTGACCAAGGAGTGTGCGAGTCATTCAGTGTCATGTTTTCCTAGGAGGAAGGAACTTTGCCCACAGCTAAGCCTATCTGTGCTGTTTTTGAACTTGCCTTTTAAGCAAAGTAGAAAGGCGCTACAGTTGTTCCTTGGGTGCAGCAGTCAAATGCACAATGAACTGAGGTAGAGGTTGGTGTGCACGCCCATGAGAAAACTTTGAAATTCAGATTACAGTCAACTTGGTTCTTAAAATATTCCATGTGGTTCATATTGTGAAATTTTTATAAGGTACTCCTTTTAGCTTTGTTTCCATGACTCAGTGGTTAGGACATCACTCAGAATCTTTGTCCTGTTCCCATCTCTCTCCACTGTTTTCCTGGTTATCTTGAATGGGCTCTTTACCTATCTATACTAGTTACTTTTCTCATTGAGGTGACCAAAATACCTGCCAAAAGCAAGGTGAGGAAGGAAAGACGGGTTTATTTCCGCTCACAGTGTGAGCGTGCAGTTTATCATGACGGGGAACCCACAGTGGCAGGAGCCTGCCACAGCTGATCACGTAGAACCACAGTTAGAAAATAGAGAGAGATGAATGATGGTACTCAACTAGCTCTCTCCGCTTTACTCAGTGTGGGATCCGGCTGATGGTAGGGTGCTGAAATACTTATGTAGGCAGCATGTATGGCTATGTCCAAATATATCACTCTGTGTTGTGGCCAGAATAAGATTAAGAAAGAACTCAAGCCAGTTAACCTAATGTAATAGCAAGAGGAGTATATTTGAGTTCTGTACTCTTTGATCTTATTGGTATCGACACACAAAGAAATAAACTGTCTAGTGTTCGGTGATACAGTGGCCAGGAGAAATATTGAAATTCTGAGGGCAGGAAATGGTTTACAGAATTGGGAAATTCAACTAAATGGGCTAAGGAACCTGAATACTCACCCTCATTGTCCTGACAGTGTCTCATACTAGGTATGGTCTGAGGTGGGGTCCAACCCTGGCCTGGTCTCCTGTTTCTGCTGTGTCAAAAAGCCTAGAGTCCTGCCCTTTCTGCTCAAGGTTTTTTAATCCAGGGTGTCACCTTTAGACTGTCGTACAGGTTTCCAATCTCAGGGACTCAGGCCTGTGGACACTTGTGTCTTGGGCTAGAGCCAAGTGCCAGCCCTGGCCCACATTGATTCTTCTTTCTATCAGGAAGACTTTGGAAAGTCCCTGCTACAGTCACCTCAAATTTTCTGGCCTTTATATTGCCATGGCAAGCCAGGTGAAGATGTGTCAGCTCAAACATTACCTAGGCTAAGGAAGAACACAGGAACAATTGGACCAAAAGGAACCAAAGGGGCAGATCATGAACGTGTTCCCCCCAACTATCTCAGGGCATCTCTACCCAGGATTTCCGATTTGAGCCAAGGCTTTGCCATTGGTCATTCTTTGGTGGACTAGCATTGTTCTAGTCTGCGTTCTATTGTGATAAACACCATGACCGGAAGCAACCCAGAGGAGAAAAAGGTTTACTTGGCTTACACATCCCAATCATCGTCAATTACTGGAGGAAGTCAAGGCAGGAACCGAAGCAGAAGGCAGTGAGCAATGCTACTTGCTGGCTTGTTCTCAGGCTTGCATTCAGCTACCTTTCTTACACTTCCCAGGATCACCTTCCCAGACCTGGCAGGAACCAAAGTGAGCTGGGCCCTCCCACATCAATCATCAATCAAGAAACTACCCCCAGAGACTTCCCTACGGGTCAATCAAATGCAAGCATCTTCTTCATAAGGCACATTTGTGACCCTTGCACGCATGTAGTTTGGGGCTCACACTAGTTTGAGTACAGAATACACACAAAATATTTATAGAATGACAGGAACATATCCATGGAGCTTCTTTCCTTCTGTTTTGATTAGAATGTCTGAGGGGACGGCCTGAAGCTAAGAAGGGGTTGAAGCATGCCTACCCCGGATTTTCTCCTCCTGAGAGCAGCAGGAGTTTGGCTGCTTGACCACCTTGCCTGGGCACCAACAGACCCCAGCAATTAGCTTCCCCAGGTGGGGACACGCCCTGGTGCACACAGCAACCGATAAGAGCTTGCATCTCAAGGCTCAGAGGAATGGTTGCTGCTTGTCTGACCACTGAAACATCCCAGGCTGGACTTCCTCTCTTTTCTATGACATTATAAGGTGTGTTCCCCTGGTCCCTGCTGCTCCAGAGTATGGAAATGAAGCGCCGTCCATGTTCTTGCCTCAACCAATAGGATACCACCACGTGGATCCAACCGGCCATTTTTCCTGGGGTATAATTGTTCCCTGTCCTCTCCTAATAAACGAGCTGTTTTCACACACAGTTTCCCGGGTGTTCTTTGCCATCACACTCACCGATGCCCAGGATCATCCTGCACCCTGATGTGCTTGGACCCGCTCACCCTCTTCCCGACCCCAGGTTGGGCTAGTGTGCAGTAGTCTGACCATATACCAGAACAAAGTAGGACTCAGACAGGCAAATGACTTTATTTCAGGGAGCATTATATTCATCTTTCTTAGAATGCAGCTTTTTCCTTATAATTATAGCTTTTCCACAATTATATCTTTAATAGTTTTGTTTAAATTGTGTTTTCTTGTCCTTTAGGGATAGATACTTAGGTTTCTCTCCTTGATTTCTATTTTTACAATTTTTTCATTAGCTTATACCTCCTTTCTGCTGTATATTAGGAGAGCTACTCATCCCTGAGTCTGTGGAAGGAGAGACTGGATTTCCTACCATGTTAAATCTGTGCTCTACTGTGGCCACTCCACAGTAACACTGACATGTTAATTCCGTGTTCTATGTGACCACTCCACAGTAACACTGACATGTTAATTCCGTGTTCTATGTGACCACTCCACAGTAACACAGACATGTTAATTCCGTGTTCTATGTGACCACTCCACAGTAACACAGACAT